AACTCCAGTTCCAGGGTGCCAATGCTCTCTTTTGACTTCCACAGGCACCCCCATGCAAGTGGCCACACATGCACACATACACATAAATAATTTGTAAAAGAAAATGAAAACACAAACCACAGACTAGGGGAGATTGTAAATCATACATCTATTTGGACTTAGATGCAGATTATAAAAAGATCTCCTAATAATCATTTTATAAAAAAGCCACTACCTCAAAAAAGGAGGTCTATAAATGGGTAGAAAAGGTAAATATAGACTTTACTGGAGATACACAGATGAAACTTTAACATATAAATGTATGTAATAAAAAGCAAAAAACAAAACAAAAACAAAACAAAAAAAAACCTCTTAGATAAACAGTTCTCTAAAGATATCTAAAGGCCATATGCCTTCTTAACATCCATTCTCAACATCCCCAATTATCAAAGAAATGCAGTAAAATAAAATGAAATTTCAATAACGGCATAGAGAAATTAGAACCTATGCATACTGTTTGTGATTGTAAAAGATTGTGAAACAGTACAACAGCCAAGGAACACAGAATGGAATCTCTTGGAAAAATTACAAATAGGCCTGGTGAGGGGAGTCTGTAATCCTTGGGAGGCAAAAAAAAAAAAAAAAAGAAAGAAAAGAAAAACAAAACAAAAAAACCCCTAGGGTCTGCCTGGGCTACAGAGTCGGTCCAAGGCTAGCCTGGAAAATCTATCAAGACTCTGTCTGAAAATTTAAGCCCCAAGGATACACACTTCACTGACAGAATACTTAGATAGCATGTGGAGGACCCAAGATTCAATGCCCGCTACAAAAACAAAACACAAAACTCTAGAGACATCTTACTTCTGAACTTACCTAAAATAATTGAATCTAGGATGTCAGAAATATTTTGAAATATATTTCTACATGCCCATGGTTCACTGAAACATTATCCTAATAGTGTACTGACAACAAATGAATAAAACAAGTGTGGTACACGTGCTAAGGAATTATCACTCACCTTAAAGGGGAAGGTGTTTTATCACATGCATGAATAAACACCACCAAGGACTCTCACCAAGTGAAGAAAGCCGATCACACAAAAGAAAAGTGCTATATGATTCCATTCACATTCATTATCTAAAGCAGAAAGAACTCATAAAAGCAGAAAGAACAGCAGCAGTTACCAGGCATTAGGAGAAGTGGGGAAAGAGATGTGGTCAATATCTGTATGGTTTCAGATTTAGAAGATGGAAAGGTCTACAGATCTGTATCACAATGATGCAGATTAACACTACTGAAGTGCGTAATTAAAAATGGTTTAGAGGGTCAGGCATGGTGGCACATGGCTTTAATCCTAGCATTTGGGTAGCAAAGACTGGTGGGTCTCTGAGTTTGAGGCCATTCTAGTCTACATAGTAAGGTCCAGGACAACCAGAGCTACATAGTGAGAGCCTGTCTCAAACAAACAACAGAAAAAGTAATAGTCAGAGAAGCTGGATGGTAGCCCAAGTGTATAGTATCAGTGGGCAGGAGAGTTCAAAGTCACTGCTGGGGGATATAGCTCAGTGGTAGAGCTTGACCAACAGCTATTAGCTACTAGATTCAATTTTTGCTAGCAGCAAAATAAATAAATAAATAAATAAATAAATAAATAATCCCACAGCCATTAGGATTAGAGTGCATTAATATACTTTCCTGTTTAAAAAAAAAAAACATCAAAACTAAACATAGGACCTGGAGAGGTTGTTTAGTGTTATGTTAAGAGCACATTTTTGCTCTTCTAGAAGATATGCTTTCCGTTCCTAACGCCCACCCATAACTCCAGTTCCAGGGATCTCACGCTCTCTTCTGACCTCTGTAGGCACCAGGTACACATGCAACACACATACATATATGCAGGCCAAATGCTCATTCACATAAAATAATATTTAAAAGATCTTTAAAATACCCCATTAAAACTAAAACCCACTAAGTATGTAATCCCAACACTTAGGAGGTAGAGACAGAAGATCTGGAGTGCCTCAGGCCTACAGGGAATTTGAAGTCAGCCTGAGCACTATGAAATTCCATTTCAAAAAACTAAAATGAAAAATAAGTGCCAGTTGCTACACAAGACCCCACCTCAAAACAAAAATATGCCTAAGATAACCTTTTTTTAAAAAAAAAAAACTGTAATAAAGGTAGTATGTTCAACATCATCTGTCATTAGTAATTTAAATGAAAATCAGTCGATACCCATGAGAAACACACAAATCAGGTGACTAAGGACATACAGTCCACAGCAATATGAATCTTAAATGATCAAAACAAGCTAGTTTAGTTCATTCCATTCTATTATTTATTTTATTTCATTTTTAAGAGAGTTTTGCTTGCTGTGGCGCTCAGATTGGTCTCGAACTCCTGAACAAAAGTGATCCTTCTAAGTGTCAGAACTATTCATACATGTCAGCATTCCCAACAAGACAGGTTAGTCTTTATTTATTTTTTTTTTTTTTATTTATTTATTTTTCGAGACAGGGTTTCTCTGTGTAGCCCTGGCTGTCCTGGAACTCACTCTGTAGACCAGGCTGGCCTCGAACTCAGAAATCCGCCTGTCTCTGCCTCCCAAGTGCTGGGATTAAAGGCGTGCGCCACCACCGCCCGGCGACAGGTTAGTCTTTAAAAAGCTTTTTAAATTTTTCTTAAATGACAGTTACAATTCCAAATCTCTCCAACTATTAGAGTAAGAATATTTCATAACATTTTTCATAATTTTGTCACAGTTGATCATTTGCAAAAAGAAGAAAAAGAAAAAAAGTTATGACTTTCCAAATGTCAATATGGCTCCTTTTATTAATATTAAAACACATTTACTATAAAAAAATCACTGGAAGTTAATAGAGAAAGTACATCTTGTTTTAATAACTTCCAATAAAAAGAGTAAAATATAATGAAAAGTATACACTTACTTGGTATTAATGACAAACTATTCCATTATGTTTAGAAGCAGCAAAATGTGTAACTTGAGCCAGATGTTCAAATGGTTAGATTTTACCTAAGAGCGAGTTATTTCAGAAAATATGTAGAAGCATAACTACAGAATTGCTTTAGGGAGTTCTCTAGCTGAATATTTTTACATTGCATTTCAGTGTTCTTTTTTTCCAAAATGAAATTATGTTCTGATTGAATGATACAAGATTCCACAGAGGCAGCAGTTAAGCATAGGAAAGGGCTCCAGTTTTAAAGTCTGTCTTCTGGCTTTACCAATTATTAGCTAGTGGATCTTGGGAAAGGAAAATTCTGAGCTTCAGAGTACTCGTTTGTAAAACAGTGATGGCAACAGTTAACTTATCTCCTAGGAGGTACTGAGTCAACTCATACCTCTAAAGTGCTTTCTACAACCAAGTACTCAATGGAGACGAATGAGTATTAATGTTGTGATTATTACAAATATGTTTCATTATTACTAGCAAAATAATCATCCCTCAAATCGAAAATCACACCTAAAAAGGTCTACAAGAATGGGAGCACATGAGACTAGAAACAGCTGGAGGCTGTGGCCAGAGAATAGAGGCCTGGATTTCCAAGGTGGTCTAGGTATATCTAAGCTGTACACATAAGAATTTGGGGATAAAGTGGTGTAAAAGTAGAGGCCATTGTTTGGACATATTTGACCATTCACAAATGGTCATTTGAATTCTGTCTCACAACTAGGACAGAAAATGAGGTGAAGAATTAGCTATGAGGGGCTGGTGAGATGGCTCAGTGGTTAAGAGCACTGACTGCACTTCCAGAGGTCACGAGTTCAAATCCCAGCAACCACATGGTGGCTAACAACCATCTATAATGAGATCTGATGTCCTCTTGTGGGGTGTCTGAAGACAGCTACAGTGTACTTACATTTAATAAATAAAAATTAAAAAAAAAAGTCAGTCCCTTTAAAAAAAAAAAAAAAAAAAAAAAAAAAAGAATTAGCTATGAAAAGACCTGGCTGCAGAGTAACTGGGAAGGTGGTAACATAGCCCCACCCTTCACATTCCCAGGATCCCCAATCCACATCGGTCCAGTTATTGCTAGCTCAACTGTACCTCTACTCTAAAGGCTTTCCCCTGCAAACACAGAAATCAGAAAAAAAGGCAAAGACAACTATTTCCTGGCAACACCTCACCGACAAGCCTTGAGTGTTTAAAAAGTACAATCTATCATAGATAACATGAGGGGGACAACACATTCCATGTCTCCTTGGGCCTTGCAAGACAGGCAAACAGAGAATATGGAAGAATCACATGGATATTGACATAATTGAAGGAGAGTGACAAAATTTAAAATGCTCTTCTGCAAATAGCAAATATAAAACAAGATGCCTAATAGATAAGCTACTCTCACTACAGCCCCTTCTGTGTACTCACAGAGTATTCTCCCAGCTGACTGACTAACTCCTTTGGGTTACTTAGCAAGGCCATATTTAAATCAGACCTGAGCTATCCTAGCCCTGCATCTGTGATCTGGCTTTCCTTTTTTTTTTTTTTTTTTTTGGTGCTGGGGATGTCCTCATACATGCCTAGCATGCATTCCACTGAGCTACACCCCCAGCAGCCACATGGCTTTTCCTTCTTTTATTCTGAAGTCTGATATAGCATGGTTCATCTATAATTCTAATATTTTGAGTAAAGAAATATTTCTGCAGATTCAGGTTTCTAACTGATCTCTACTGATAGGAGAAAGATTCAAACCATAGTGACTTCTAAGAACAGTTAAAAGATTACAGACAGTGTGTCTTAAAAGGATACGCCTGGCTGTAATTTTAAACTTAATTTTTGACACTTTCCTCCCATACCATATTAAAAAACAAATCTTTGCCGGGCAGTGGTGGCGCACGCCTGTAATCCCAGCACTTGGGAGGCAGAGGCAGGCGGATTTCTGAGTTCGAGGCCAGCCTGGTCTACAGAGTGAGTTCCAGGATGGCCAGGGCTACACAGAGAAACCCTGTCTCAAAAACCAAAAAAAAAAAAAAAAAAAAACAAATCTTTAAACACTGCAATAGCTTTGAAGAAGAAAAAACATCTACCTCAGACACTAGAGACAAGCCAAACGCTTACTAGCTCTAACTATATCACAGAAGAAGTCAACTTCAAAAGAAAAGAGGGCTGTTACAGAAGCTGGGCATGGTGATACAGTCCTGTAACTTCAACACTAGAGAGGCTAAGACAGGAGACTCACAAAGTTCAAGGCCATCCTCTGGTATGTAACAAGACCTGACCTCAAAGACAAGAAAGACAGAAAATATATATACAGAGATTTTACAAACAATCTACCCCCTAGAAAGCAAGTGAAATGGAGTCAAGGACTTCAACAAAAGAACAGAAAAACAGTGTCAGAAACCAAAGGGATGGTCAGAAAACCCTCCTGGGACAAACAGAAACCAGTCCATGAGATCTTGAAGCTATTCTTCCTGATCTAAGTGCTGCCTTCAGTCTGAACTCAGAAAGATCCTGATTATTTGAACTGGTTGTCGATCAGGGTCCCCTTCATTTTTGCTTTCTTGGCTTCCAATTCAGCCTGGAAAGAAAAAAAAAGTCACAATCACATGACATTAACATTTCTTGTTTATTCCAACTGTGTTTACTCTTCCTTACTGCTCAGTGTACAAGCCAAAAATGGTTTTAGAATCCTTATTCGTCAGCTTAAAACTCTGGCTCATAAAACCTAGATTTAAAATCATATGTGAGCCGGGCAGTGGTGGCTCATGCCTTTAATCCTAGCACTTGGGAGGCAGAGGCAGGCGGATTTCTGAGTTCAAGGTCAGCCTGGTCTA